ACATTCCCAGAAGCCTGGGTGTTCAAGTGTGTGTGTGTGTGTGTGCGGAGTCAGAGTTTCAGTCCCCAAAATCGATGCAGTCTGCACAGCACCAGCGGTGTCAAGGTTGCTTCAGAGCTTTGTGCAGGCTCGCCAAATTCGACCGAGCGGCAGTGCCACACTCGTCGAAGGAGTGGGGGATCTGTGGGGAGTTGAGTGACCAAGGAGTCAGAGACCACAACAGAAACCGAGCTTTTGCAGCACTGCTGAGGGCAACGACGTTTGAGCTTCAATGGTCCGGGCAGCAACTTCTGGCGTGAGTTTCTTCATGACGATGCCTCCTGACCAACATAGCATGTTTGTATCTGAGTCACAGAGTCGGGGGAACGTCCAAGAAGCAGGGAGTTCGTAGCCAGTGCGTAGTTTAAGCCATTTCAGAAGTGCTGGCTACAGCAGGACATCAGCTAACTGCAAGCGGCAGGCAAATGTTTAAAAAGAGTTCGTGGCTCATGAGGTTCGGAAGGAGATTCTGGCACCAAGGCTGCAGTTCAAAAGAGTCTCGTGTTGGTCTCGAGTAGGCGTTGCAATTATAACTCTGCTGTCCCTGTGACGCTTTAAGGCTGTCAATCGGCTGGATGCAGAGCTTCTGACTTTCGCTAGGAAGCACTTCAAGGAGAAGCATGGTGCAAGACTCAGATAAACCTTTACGCTGCTATGCTGCATCCTGTGATATGCAAGATGTGACCGAAGGCATTGAATGCACCGACGAAGCCTGACGCACAAAGACGGCGATGCTTTGAAGCATTTTTGAAGACATCCCATGAAGTGACGTCAAGATATGTCGCCGTAGGGGCTGATGGCTTTTCTTGCTCGATTACGGGTTATTAAGGTTCTGCCAGATTCGCCGTGGATCCACAAGTGCATCATTGATTGCCAGAAAGACCATCGTCCAAAAGAGCTGCCCGCACCTGGACCAGCAGAACTCCCTGCAGAGCTGACTGAAGGCACGCGACGAGCTTGCTGTGATCTTGGAGGCTGCCAGACAGAGCGGGGTCGACAAGTCCGGAGACATCTGCTACCAGACTCGAAGCTGATCTTCCCCCACGTGGACAGCACCTCTGGAACAGAAGGGATGCTCCGTACAGGCCATCGGACATGCCCGACACGGCGCAAGTTCATCTTCAGCACAAAGCAGCAGATGCGCTCATGAAAAGCTTTGTATGCAGCGCCGCAGCACCGATCTCCAATGTTTTTGATTCGGCATCTTGTGCTACCAGGAGTCTTACCAACTCATGCAGCATTTTGCTTATCCATGCACAGCAGCAGTGAGGCTTCAGCCGTGGCAAACACCCAGGTTGCTTTCAGCACGAGCTGCACCAGATGGACGCAACAAGAATGCTCTAGACCGCTTCACTTAGAGCACATGCACACACTCAGCAGCATTTTCATTTGCATGCTGGAGCCTTGTGTCGATGGTTGATGAAGGTCACGCCCTCAGAACCGGAGATATCTATCCCAGTCTGCCGTGCTAGCCTGAGCCCCTAGGTGCTCGCCCGCTGTACGCTGTGCTGGGCATTGCACCAGATGCGAGCGCCGACAACGTAAAGCAGGCAGGCACAGCTGCGCCGGGTAGGCCCCTTCCAGAACCCAGCTCCGAGCAAAAGTTGTCGGTGATGAGGCTTATCGACGATTAGCTTTGCAGTACCATCCGGACAAATGCAGCGAACTAAGCAAGAAGCAAGACCCGCCTTTCCGTAGCGGCATTTCGAATCCGGAACCGAGGTCCGGATCCAGCAAAGGCTGCGCTGCTGTCATGCTTGCATCAGCTTGCATCAGGCAGAAATCTGCAGGAGAGGTTCTGGCATTGAATGGCCAGCCAGGCAGACACCGAGGCCGTCTTCGCCCGCATTGCCTTTGCCTACGAGGTCAATGGGATGTGAGACAGGCTCGAAATTCACCATACTCGTGTTTTGCAGGTTCTTGGCGACTCCCAGCGCAGGAAGCGCAGGACTCTCGGTGTAGCCGGCTTCGTGATGCCCAGGCCCAGTATGTTAGAGAGTCAGAAGCCGACGGCGAGGCTATGACCTCACCGGAGAGCTGCCACAAAATGACACGGCTGCAGGCAGTCGAGGGTCCCGTGTTTTCCATCGCCATCGACTAGTAGGCTTCACACCATCGCATTGCTCATAACTCAGGCCGTTCTGCTCAAGAGACTTTCTTGAAAGAGTACATGCAGACTGCACTGCGCTGAGTTTCCATGATGCAGAGCATTCCGAACGCCTGCAAGCATGGTGCTGAGGCTCCCAAGACTGCACGTGCAGCCACCCAGGCCTGGCTGTGGCCCGACTGCTTCGAGCGTGTTCAGAAATGCCTCAGGCAGATTATTCCCTTCACAGCTTGGACAACTACGAGATCCTGGAGGCCTTCGTTTTGCCGGCTGACTACCAGGCTGCGTACCAATATTCGTCATCTTATCTTTATCCGGTGCATATGCAACCTGAGCTGCTGCACGAGAAGCATGAATGATCCAAGGGCAAGAACATGAACCTCTGAAAACGTCAAGGAAGGCCCAACCAACCACCAAGCCAACAAGCAAAAACACCCAGATGATGTGGTGAGCTAACTGTTTTTTGGCCAGCATTACACGTTGGTCACCCCATCCATTCCGCTTCCCTTCAAATCAAGTACTGTATAAGCCTGTTCCTCGAGCAGAGCCTTGTCCGCTAGAGGTCGATGGAACGAACGTCCCGTCGTACATGCTGCGCCCTCGGCCTCAAGAGTGAAGCTGTGTGCGGCCATTTCGGCAAGAGCTTCAGGCGCGAAATCGTTGCCCGTGGTCTGGGATACCTGGCCGCCGTGGTCGAAGGCCACTCTCGCACGAGCGCATACTCTGTCGCATCACCTAAAGCCTAAAGCGCAGGCATGGAAGACAAAGATGTTGTTCTGCTTCGGCACTTTGTGATGGATCAGATGTACGCCTTGTTGGTGCGCCGAACCGGGGAGTCACAGAGGCGCTGGAGCGACAGGAGTTGATGACACGTGAGGCCTACACTCCGCCGTTGGATGCTGGTGCATTCGGCGGAGACCGTGGATATGTGGGCTTCCTAGAAGAAGGGCATAGGGGATCGGAAGTGAGCATCTGAAGGTCATCACTTACTACGACGCTCCGCTGCAGGCAAAGAGCCGGCTCCGCAGGGCTCCGCAGGTCGCTTGCTTTTGCAGTGCAGGCTGGCATCCAGCCGTCTTGGTCAGACCAGAACGGACCCGCAGGTGCCAGTGAAAAGCGTGTCGCTTGCAAGACACAGATGACGACTACGCAAGCGCAGGTCGTTCTGGTGTGGCCAGCAGCTCATTGGCGCAGCCGTAGCCCCAGAAGATCCGCAAAGCTCTAGCCTTCCTTTGCACGCTCAAGGCTTCGCGTCATCGACGACCAAGCGGTCGAACGGCGCCGCCTCGCCGCTTTGGTCGCGGCCCTTCAGTCTCGGATTGAAGATCCACGAAGAATCAATTTAATCATCCATCCTGCATCGTCGATCATCGTCGCCTCTTCGCAGGAATGGAGCGGCAAGAACGGACCTCCGGACCTGGTGGCGCCTGTGCTCCACTGAGTGTGCGAGTCGCGCTGAGCCGCAGTGGAAGTGGCTGAATGTGGCAGACTCCAGCCTTGGAGTCCTGTGCAGGTCAGACACAAAGTACCCGGCGAGGGTTTGACAGCAGAGAGGTGGTGCGACAAATTTGATTGTGCTCTTCAACGCGGGCTGCAGCTTGTTATCAAAGACGGAAGGTTGAAAGCAGCGGCCTTGCTGCTTGCCCAGCAGGAAAGCGATCTAGGCAGGGCGCATGGTTTTTGTTTCAAGTGCGAGTTCCTCACAAGGAAGGCTAGATTGAACCACTGCCAGGGCACTTACATTCTCGTGGTTGCATCCAGTCCCTACAGTATCTGAACCCGAGAATCGGCTACGGAGAAACGTACAACTTCGATAGGCGGAGACATGGACACATGGGTTTGCATGTAGTTATTTTGGCTCACACGTTGCCTCGCTGCGCGAAGGAACTCGCCCTTGCAAGGGCGCAGTTTGGGGGTTTGGTGGGGGTTGCCTCCGTTTGCTTCCAGCATCTTCCAGCTGTGCTTGAGACCAACGGCCATCGCCTTGACTGGCACCCGCCAGCGACATGAGCAGGCTGCAGCATGTCTGACAACAGAAGCAGCCCTCCTCCGCTCGGCAGTAGCACCAGTAGAACTTCGGCCGAAGTTGAACTCTTTTCTGCACACTTTGGGCACTAGTTCCATGGAGCATTCGGTGTATGTGCGCCATGTGCAACCCTTTTGACGCACAAGCGAGTCGACCCTCAATCAAGAGTGCCTATGTAAACGAGAATTGCAGCCTCATGTGGGCGCTGGTTCGTATGCAAGAAGTCTCGGTTCGAGTACCAACCAGTCTTGGCTGTGCAAGTGCTTTTCTACCCTCGCTAGCATCCGCAGTGAAGCCACAACAAACCAAACCAAGCCAAGCCAAGCGAGCCGAATGATTGTTGTCTCCTCGGTGGATATCGGTGGTGTGAATCCGAAGAGTCTTTAACTGGTCTTTAGCATGCATAACTTGTATGGTACTGTATATATGTACACAGTCACGTTTCTGGACATGCGTATCAGGCATGTAACAACATGTGTGATGTACTGGTGCATGCATGTACACACATGCACACAGATACGTATGTAGATGTATGTAGTATATGTGTAGCTACACATTGTACAGACAGCGTGTGTCCTCACTGCAGCCATCCGCAGCTTGCGGTAGCAGCTTGCGGCAGTTTCACATGTTTGGAGGCTGCAACATATTTATCCGCGCTTTGCTGCTGGGTTCTTGGATTTTGGTGAGCTTCGCAAGTCTGAGCTGTTTGCAGTGTCGCCTGCATCAGGGAGCTCCTTAGATTGGACTGTGCCATGGCAGCTCTACCTCTGAGTACCACATCTCGCAGGGACGCGGCCATGTGCCAGACGAGTGCTTTGGGAGAGTCTAGGCCTTCACACGCATGCCACGTGGTTGGGTCAAGGAGGTTTGTCAGTGCTTTTTGCACTGCCGGCGCTGGTGCTTGTCGGGCGGTACGTCGTTCCAGCAAACACGCGGCTCGTGGCACCAGAGCCGTGTCGAGAGCCTCGAGCGTGCCCCAAGCTGTGCGACTTGTCTCCGTGAAGGAAGGGCAGCTCGTCATCGATGATGCGAGTCTCCTCAGACTTGTGACAGCGCTGCAGGCTTCATCTTGCACGCGCATAGCGGTGATTTCGATAGCAGGCGCCCTGAGACAAGGCAAGTCCTTCTTTCTGGACTTGTTTGCAAGGTACTTGGAGTCTTCTGATGGCTGGTTGGCAGAATCTCTGCAGGATCACCAGCGGTTTCATTGGAGCTCGGGGATGGAGCGAGTCACCGAAGGCGTTTGGGTTTGCCCGCATGTCTTTCAGGTGCCGAGCTCTGATAAGACGCGAGTTGGTATTCTGCTCATGGACACTCAAGGCACATATGAGCCCGGGGCGACCCGCTGGCAAAACGACTCCTTGCTTGGACTGGCTGGGCTGCTGTCCTCAACGCTCCTTTTCAATATTTCCAAACAGCTCCAAGAGGACACCGTTGAAGATCTACAGGCCGCGATGGACATGTTGCAGATGACCTGTCGCCAGCACGGTCGACCGCCACCCGCCCCAGACTCCAAAAATCTAACCTTCTTGGTGCGGGATTGGGTTCACGCAGATTCACAGCAGCTGCTCTTTGAAGATGACTTGGCTACAAGTCAGGGGCTGCCCATGAGCGACCAGGAACAAAGTGTCCTGGCAAGCTTTGTGCATTCAACCACAGCAGGGCAGGGCCTGGGGCAGTTCTTCGAATCACTACATTGCCGAACACTGCCACACCCAGGCCACATTGACCGACCTGGTTGGACAGGGGTTAGCTCCGACGTTTCTTGTGACTTTATTAACAAATGCGGCATGCTCTTTAACACCCTTGCTGATGCAGCCAGCGCACAAGCCGGTGCTGCGATTGGAGTGCAAGATTTTGAGCAGACGTTGAAGGAATCTGTCATCCTCTTGAATTCTACTCAAGACTTTACAGAAGGTAAGAGTCGCAGTGCGGTGCTGTCAGATCTCAGCATGTTGAATGCCATGGACCGAGCCCGGTCCAGTTATCGAGCCAATATGTACCGGGCAGGTGCTCTGATGAAGGGGAAAGCTATTCCTCAGATCCTGCTTGGCGAGGTGGCTGGTACACGGGCCCTGGTTGCGCAGGATCTCGCTGCGGCGCACCGTGACTCCGTCGCAGTTGCCGGAAACGAGTTGCGGCGGTTGGCTTTGTTCTCCGACGACTGTGCAGTGGCTCAAAGCGCCAGCGAACTGGAGGACAGGTCCTGTGAAGTGACTTAGTGCACGCTTCCCCTAGCAGCTTCATGACCAGCTCAAGTGAAGCCTTCACTTGTCGGAGGAGGAGCTGGAAAAGGAACTACCCCGCTTGCAGGAAGAGAATCGGCAGTGGAACCAGCAGAGGTTGAATGGTTTGGCTGAAATGACGCTGGCGGCAGTCACTGTGTCCTTGCTGTGTTGTGTGTCGAAGTTCTCTCACCTGTGTCAACCGTCGAAGGGCATGCTCGGCTATTCTGGAATCGAGGTGTCCGGCTTGGTTCCACCAGCCGCAGCGGGAATTGCTGCTGTCATGATGCCTGCTTACGCGCTGCTTGACCGAAGACGCTGTGGAAGCGCCCATTCAATCGCTTGAATTTGTTGCCTTCGAGTCGCCGAAACCTGCATCCAATTCTGCCTCTGTCAGGCTTCAGTTGTGGCGATTCAAGATTGCTGGTGGGGACTTTTGGCTGATTTGCTTGCCAGATTGCCGGCCATGGGGTGATGAATGACTAGCCCCTGCTAGACCAGACAAACCAAGGACTTTATGGCCAATTCGGCGACTGGGCTTGACTACAACATGAGATGATCGAAGTATACTCGATAGTCTTGATGCTGAACAATGAAGGGGCGAGTGTTGACTCACATGCCCTTGCAGAACCAGTCTTCTTTTCATCTACCGGAGTTGATATTCCAGTGTAGAGTTTGCTTCCGTGTATCGGAGTCAGCAGCTTGAAGCGACCTCTTGCAATCCTTGATTTGTAGGTGAAGCAATTCGACATCACGTGTTCGCATGATCCGTCAAGCTGAGATTGAGCTGCACAAAGCCATGCTGCGAACTGAGCGCACGTGGGCAAAGGACATAATTTCTGTTGAGACGCACCCATGACGTGCTGAAGGCTGTGTGCAGCCAGAACGTCATAGAGCGTTGTGAGTTCGGGGAGGTTTGCATTCCTGTCCACTTTCACCAAGAGTATTCAATACGTAGTAGGGGCACTTCACGGCAAGCTTGCAAGCTCCCTTCCGTTGCTGCTGTTCTTCTCATGGCTTCAGGACGTCAGGTCCTGGTTGTCACAGAGATCCTCAGAGCCAACGGCGGCACGACCACTTGACTGACCCTCTGGCTGCGGAAATACATTGAGCATGGTCGACTGAACTGCCGTCACCGCGCTGCGCAAAATCGAAGACCGTTGGAGCCCAGGACATCAGCTTTTCGCAAGCTGTGCTCGCCCCCAAATTGGACAATGACAGAAGTACGCAGCCTTTTCAACCTCGCTTGCGCTACAGATGGCTTCTTTGTGGACAGACGCTACTGGAAGTATTCGTCTTCACAGACCTTCGCAGCTTTCCCAAGTTTCGGAAAAGCCTGCTGCGCTGAAACGGACACGACTTCGCGCCACAGTGGCTGAGTCAAAGGCGACCATGTCGATGGGCTTGGCTACTGCTGCACTGAATTCTTGTGCTCAACCGTCCATCTTCTGAATGATACAGCAGTGCGGTTCAGGAAGCTTTACGAGCAGCCGGCTGCGTAAGGAGCTGGAGGAACTGTTTGCACAGCTGTTCGCCCAGAGTCTTACCTTCCACGTCAAGAGCTGAAAGGAAGGTCCATGATTGCAAAAGTCATGACGTGATCATCGCAGGAGCTGTTGGGTTTGCAACCTGGCGGACTACAGGCCTTGCACCATCTTGGCAGTCGGACGTAAATGGACATGTCAACTGCGGCCAGTCCTATGGGAGCTCTCAGTTGATGGGCATTGTCCTGGAGGCGTCGGAGGAAGTGCAGGTCTGCCACTGCTTTGCTAAGTACTGGTTTCGGGACAGCTAGAATCTAGAAGCTGCTAGAAGCTGTGAGCTAAGTGACTAAGTGCCTGTTCCAACCCTGAACCTGCCAGACGGTGTCACAAGCTCTGTTTCATGCAGCCCCTGGAATTCTGAAGACTTGCCTCATGCAGCCCGGAAGGACGAAGGCGGGCATTCCGCAGATGAAGGCACCGCAACTGCACATCACTGCAAGTGCACATTTCTGATGGTTTCTATCTTGCCTTGCGCCAGGCTGACTTCGGTACTTGAAATCCAACATGGCATGTGCCCTGATTCGCCTCGAACCCGCCAAACGGAGGATAGAGGACTCGTGCGAGCAGAATCAGCTTCGACGTGGACGCAGCCCACGGCTGTACAGGCTGTGATCGTTGAGCAGAGCGGCTTGCTGCAGGGCCATGC